GGGCTTTAAAAGTAATTTTCTAAAACTTACCTATAAGTATTGTTTTTTTATCTTGATTGTATTAATTATAAAAAGTAACTTTTCTCCTTCCCTTACGTCATTTTATCTATATATTATGCTGTTTAAATTCAAAATCTCTTATTTTTAACAAAAAAAGATTACTACTGAACTATTTACTTATAAGTGTTTTAAATGCTTAAAAAACAACATTTCACTTTAATAAGTGTTTACACCTAATTTTACAACAAATGGAGTGCTGTCACGTGTCACCCATGATGGTAGATATTTTATTAGTTGAAAGTTGGTGTGTATTTTTTCAGATGAGATTGAGTGGTTATTTCCACAACGGCAACAAAACCGTTCTTTTGTTGCGAGCTTCCCGGAGGATAATCGCAGCACCAACAAATTAATTAATTTGTTGCAGATATTATGCTGCCGTTGGTCTTTCAAGATGCTGCCGCAGATCTCCACCATGCTGCCAAGGTACTATAAATACCTAATTATAAGATCAAGCAAAGGATCAACATCTCACACAACAAACTCAGCACAATTTCTCTTTATACTCAGATTCATTTTAGTTTCAAGCCCTTTAATTCAATTTTAGCTCTACGCTTCAACCTAGATTAGTTTAGCAATTTGGTTCTTCTTTTGTCGAATTTGTAATGGTGAGTTTCGCTGCTTTCAGTAATATTTCTTTGTAATCGGATTGCTTCCTTTCCTTTATATTTGTTTTCCAGATTTCCTTTAATTTAATCAAATGATGTCGACATTTAATTTCATGTTCAATTTCATTTCTGTTAATTTACATTTCATGCTGTCAGTAGATTTTTCATGCTTTAGGTTTTATTTACTTTAATTTTATTTACTTTTGCTGCGATTAAATTTCCTTTTAAGACTCTGTTTCAATTCAGTTTGCGTATTTAAAGTTCATTTAGATTTTTAGTAATTTAGCGATCATTTATTTACCTTGCAGTCTTAATTTTTTTTTATTACATTAGCTTTTAGAAGTCCTTGGAATCATATCCAGGGCATTTTGTTGTATAACCCATTTAGTGCAGGAAGTTCATTCCTCGTTTCTGCCAATCGTCTGATCTTTAAGATGCAATTCACGACGTTCTTCCATCAACTCACAAGTTGAGTTCCACGCTTGGAAAGAAGAGAGGGTCGTCGGAGAAATCTTTCTTGTTTTGAGCAAAGCAAGTGGCACGCCATTTCATCTGTCACGTGTCAAGGAGATTTTTTGGGATAACAATAAGCATGTAAAAATGTTGATAATTTATAAAAGCTTTGTCAAATGGGCTGCTACCGCATTAACTTTTGCTAATTAGCAAGTTGCTATTTAGCTAAATTTATGACCAAACATACAAGTACATGAAGCAAATCCTCCGAATCTATAAATTTCCTGCACTAATTAAGATGATTATTAGCAGAGCTAACTCCAAAACTAGTGAAAAGAGTCAAGTAAACCCAAGTTGGTTGGGTGAAAAGCAACTAACGGCCGTTAGCAAGGGGCCCAACTGCGGATTCTTTGCTGGGACTAGAGGGAAGGCTAGGCCTTCCAGATGCGACAAGGCGTTGGACGAAGTTCTCGATCCTCTGCCCATTAGTCTCCGTCAGGAACCGCTTTCCGCCAAACGGTAACGACTCCACTCCTTTCTCCTCCAACACCGCTTCTCCCAATCTCGGCCCCACCAACCCAGGATCCGGCACCACCAGTTCGTTTGCCTGCACGTTTCACGCCGTCAAATTGCTATAAATAAATCATACAAAAATTAAAAGGTAAAAAAAAAAAATCTAATTCAAATCTTTCTGTTTGTCTCTTGAGAAACTCAAGGAAAATAACAAAAGAAAATCTTGGTTTAGTTCAGTAAAATAATATATGTTAATTTTCTACTTATTATTTTTATAAAAAAAATATTATAGAATTTAAACTATACGGAACAGTGCAACATTTTAAATCTCCATTTACGGTCCTCCCTTTCTCATTGTCCCTCCCTGTTTCGTAATTTGGTGAGCGACTTTTGTTAGTATTCAACAAAATGAAATAGAAAATTTTACTTGGGGGTTTTTCTAACGAGGCACATGTTATAAATATAGTAAATATGAGTATTAATATAAAGATAATTTTTTAATATAATTTTTTAAAATAACACTAAAATAAGAATAACTATATTAAATGAGATACTAAATAGAAAAACAAATAACTTAATTTATACATCCTAAATTAAAAATTAAATCT